ATTTAGAAAGTGACAGTATATCCAAGCAAAATAGTTTGCTTTGCTTCAGAAGATGTACCATCAAGTTCATTTGGAATTATCTCCAGTGGCAGAATGTATGCTTTGTATCCAAAAGATCCCAGGTTCAATCCTCAGCATCTCCAGATGGATGCTGAAAGCCATGGGAAAGTTCTGCTAATCAGTGTAGTTCAAGCCTATGAAAGTGATACCCTGGTTTGACTAAAATTTCCATCAGCTCCAGCCAGAATGACCAATGCTCAGGCATTATGGGAGAGCCTACTGGTCTGACTCTGTGAAAAGCAGCTTCCCATGTCCCTATGAGACTTTTGTCTCAGCTTTTAACCAGTCCTTCATTAGAGCAAAGACTCTAATCACAAATATTACAATTAGTCAGAAATTAATTCATGTTTAAAATGGTAGAATATGGCACCTTGCATGGTTGTGAAAACACCATTTATTTATTTATTTATTTATTTATTTATTTATTTATTTATTTATTTATTTAACCACCTAATAGCCACAGCTTTCTGGGCAGCTAACAAAAGTTATAAACACACAAACAAGAAAGTGAAAAGAAGACAATACAAACACAGCAACTGCAACCAAAACAGCAGAAAGGTATAGCAGGGGTACAGGTTAAAATGCAATTTTAAAACTAAAGTTGAAAGTTAACTGTTAAAATACTAGGAAAATTAAAAGGTGCTGAAAAGAATACAGAGTAGGCACCGGGGAGCTCCTCTTTGGGGAGCTCATTCCATACCCAGGGTGCCACAACGGAAAAAGCTCTTCTTCTGGTAGCCACCCTGCTTACTTCCTTTGGAGGGGGCTCCCAGAGAAGGACCCCCAAAGATGATCTTATGGTCCAGGGAAGTACATATGGGATGAGGTGTTCCTTCAGATAACTTTGCCCCAAGCCATTTTGTTTTAGATATTAAGTATAATCAAACTCAGAGTGCATTTTATTATCTATTCCAAGATAATTGCCCTTTTGGACTTGCTTAGATTTGTGGCAACTTCATTCCAGAACAGGGGATGTAAACTCCTGCAGGATCTGAATATGGGTTTGGTTAGTGCTTTGCCTGTAAAGTTATATAGGAACAGACTATAACCCTGACAAATAAAATGAAACTATTTGCCTGTATAACATTTACACCTATCTATCTATGACTATTTAGATATCATATGCTACCAATATATTTTTCCAGAGTACCTGACGCAAGCACCAACAGCAATCTTACTGGTTGTTTGGTTGTATTGGTATGTGTTTGGATGATACACATGTTGCTTTAATAAGCAGAGATATGAATGTGGTTTTTGTCTGGATCAGGAAACTCCGAATAACAGCTTTAGTACAAGTTAAGATACCAACAAACTTTAAACCATTTTCATTTTTAAAAATATGTTAATGATTGTTTTTCAATTCCATCATATTGAAGATTTTCTGATTTTTTTTTGCTTGCCTGCGCAAGTGAACTCTATGAACAGGCAAAAGTTTATTCAACTGCATGCTTGTAACTCTACCTATGTCTCAACCATAAACTCATCAAGAGCCCCATGCTCCTACATTGCCCCACTTATGTTTCAGTATGTGCATATGTTCTCATTTTGACACTAATTTTTCATCTAAACGTAGTTGTCTCCTCCATATTTTGGATATTTTCTAATATCATTACACTGACACAGATATTGCAACATCTTCCTCTGCTGTAGTCTTGTCAATTAAATATTTAATAAGCCTTTGTTTTATTTTGCAGCATGATTTATGAATAGTATCCTGAACACCAAGAGGGGGACCCAGACTAATCAGATGAGAACAGAAGGGTAATGTCACAAAACCTCCTGCAGATTTCTGTTCTTAGCCATTTTTCTTTGGCTTGGAAAGTAAGTAATAAAGTGCAAAACCATGCAACTAACAATCTTTCTATGGCTGTGCTACAGTTTGAAAGTAATGTCCAAAATTATTGCAAATATGATCAAACCCTAAAACATTTAATCACATATGTATGTCTTTTCAATGTCCCAACAATTAAAACTCATTCATTTTTAACTAAACTGAATGTGCATAACCTAAATTTCACCCGGTTAAGCAGAACTGCCTCTATATCATCTTATCTCAATGTACAAGTTTAGTGTTTTATGACCAAACATTGATAACTATTTTATATTGGGAAACAGCTTTAAGAAGCAGCAAGGAGCAGGAGGAACTGTTTGCAAATGATCTTGTCTACCTGTGTACTGTAAGTGTAGGCCTAGAGAAAAAGAGTTACAGTCCAGATCTAGCAACAGTTTTCTTAACAGTAAATGCAGGAAAGGTTACTAAAGTTTTATCAAGATGATATTTAACATCTGAACTTTCCCCTAAGCCAAACATAGATAATCTATGGCCTCTTGACATTGTTAGAATATGATTCCAAACAGCCCCGTCAGCATCACCAATGATCAGGGAAGATGGAAGCTGTAATTCAACAATGTCTTGAAGGAAAAAGGTTCTATACTTCTGTCCCAAGCAGTATACAATGGTAGTGCTAATCACAACTGACAAATGGGCAATATCCTATCCAGATGTAAAGTGAGGGGAGGGAGAGACAGCTTTGTTTCAAGAAAAATAGGCTTGATACTAGGAACTAACCTATTTGTTACATTTCTATAAGAAATAGAAATCCTGACAGAATAGGCACACTGTTATGCTAGATAGGAATAACACAACTGTCTATTGCTTCTTTCTTTCCTCCTTACTCCAAGAAAGTTTGTGAAATATACGGGTTTCTGTAGGCAAGGAGGACAATCTTGCAAACATTGCAACTTTTTTTTTTAAAGGCTTACATGAGTCCTTCTGCCCTTAAATGGTACAATGTAGGGGGATCATTCTCTGAAGAAGGTATTAAGAAAGGAATGAAGGGTTATCCTTTAGAAAGCACCATGTAAAGAACATGTGGGATAGAGAGCTGTGATTTTTATCAGTAGTGCCATAGGCACTGTGCAACAGGCACTCATGACACACAACCTCATTACACACAATACCATAAATTGCATTGATTCTCCAAGCTGAGGAAATAATTACATTTTTCCAAGGTCATATTGCACTATGAATATTGGGAAAATATTATATAGAATAAACCAACAGGGTCTGGAAAGTTATGTGACTGTAGCAGCTAAGCAGAAGGAACATTGGCTGCTCTACAGATAGGCAGAACCCTGTTCATACGTTTTGGGTTGCTCTTTTGGTTAAGAAAACAAAACAAAATTATACCCTATGACTGTATTCCTAGTCATACTTGTTTGAAAGAAAGCTTCACTGAAATTCATGAGGCTTATTTCAAATAAAGGTGGATGGGGTCGGGATGCATAGATTAATTTCGCTTTCTGTGTTCTTCCCTGTCCTTACAAATAATGAACTGAAATTCATCTTCTGGGGATGCTTTACAGAAGTCTACAAACTCATGTACTATGCAGCCTAATCAACTTTGTCTTAGGCTTCCAATAGATGTGGTACCCCTTACCAAAACTCAAGAGTCCTTTACAGCCTGGGAACTTTGTGACAGAGTTTGAATCCCTAGTAAAATTCAGCTGAGATGCTGCTTGCAATAAGATAAAAAAAACAAACTTAGAATGTGATTGTGTGCACATGATACAAATATTACTGAGAGTTCAACACATGACTAGGAGTTGCCATGTTCATCAGCAGTCCTCCTAAAAGTAGATGCTGATATCGTTAAGTATGGAGAGTCAGTATTCATGGATGCACTTCCCTACCTTGCCATATATAGTGCCTTTCAAGTTAAATTAATGAGGGTGATATTTTCTTTCAACACAAGCATCTTGAGATTAAACTAAAGGTCACTGTGAAATTACATAAACTGTAAAAGTATCAGCATAATTAGTACTCACTGTTCTGTATGGGGAGATCCTAGTTCAAGACTGAGGTCTCTACAGGTGGGCAGCAGGGGGCTAATTATAAAGGCATTTATAGAATGTCTGCTACCTAGCATCCTAAGGGCCAGACCACTACCACACATCAGATGCATTACTTGCAAGGGGTACAGAACAGGGATTGATGAATATTTTAAATTAATTCAATTCAGTTTCTGATTTTTCCTACAATAAATGTAATCCCTCCTTTTCCCAAAGCTGTTTGCAATTTTTATGCATATTTACCATTTTATGTACTTTCCCAGATATATATGCATTTTGTATGTAATTTTCTATGCATGTTTTAGAAGAGATTTCCCATAAATACGAATTTTCACCTATTATACACATTTGTGTGCATTTTTAATTTACAAACTGTATCACAAAATTCCAGATACTGTGAATGTTGCTGTATCATTAAACTCTGGTTCTAGCGTAGTTTCCGGAAGTGCAGATTTATTATGTTTGCTTTAAAATGGAATCCATGAGATTTCTCATCCATATCTAAGTATGGAGTGGTAGTTCTGGATTCTGGTAGGCTGCCTGTTGGGGTAGACCAGACATGCTCCCTCAACCCTCCTTGCTTCTTATCCTTACCATGGTCTAGCATGGTTACATCTAGAGCTTTTATTACCAGGGGGTTCCGCTTCAGCAGAACATAATGGAATCCTTTAAATGTTTAATTCCCTTTGGTGCATTCTCTAGCCAGACTGAAATTTGTCTTTTATTAATAATTGATATAGTATATTTAATGTGCTCAGTGTGTTACATTCTTGATCCTACTCATTCTTGCAACAAGTGCATAACTTCACTTGGTTATGCTGGGACTTTAAGATGAATCCCCAGGTGTCAAGTCCAATTGGGTATCAAAATGTACCACCACACCACAGTGATAGAGGGAAAGCACATGAAACTGCACATTTCTGTGCACTCTAAGAACTTAAGCAACAGGTTTTTGATACCATTTCATCATACATTAAAACTTCACTGTTTTCAACCTACTGTTCAAAATGGTGCAACATGTTGGGCTAGAGTGACATATAACATAATAGAGAAAGTTTAGGGAGCGAGGAAAATTAGAAGCCTTTTACCTGAACGGAGCTGTTTAATTCTTCCATTGCTAGTGGCTGTATCCACAGGAAGGAAGTCTTTGAACCAGGAGATTTCAGGGTCAGGGTTGCCACTAGCAGCACAGAGCATTGTAGCAGTGCGAGCTTTCTCTACTACCTTAAGCTGTGGGCCCATGTCAATGGTCGGAAAGCCAGAGGGAAGCTGGTTCTCTGCAGAAGAAATGGGAAATTTTATGTTAACAGGCAGTAATTTGTCAAGATTCCAATAAGAGGAAGCTGATTTATAATGTGGCAAGTGGAAAAGAATCCATGTTATGCACAGCTGCCTTCTAAGCAAAACTACAGAACTGGATTCCCTGACCTTGATTCTGGATAACGAACTATGCAACTGTAGAGAATGCAATGAGTGCATGCTTCCATGGCAGCTGAACTGCTCAAATACTCTGCATCTGTATGCACCCTCAAGCAAGAAGCATAGCCAAAAATATGAAAAGGAGGCTCAAACCTTTGGGATGTATTTTCACTGCATATTTTCACCTACTCTTTTTCTCTTCCAACGGCAGATATGAATACTAAAAGACTATGGGGAACAAATGAATATAAAATTAACAAGCTGAAGTAATTGCATCAATCCATGCCAGGGTGCACTTTATGAGGCTACCAGAACTCTCCCAGGCAGTTGGAGGTACCCGAGGTATGCAGAAAATGAGCAATGCACACCCTGCTGCGGCTTACTGCTCTATTAAAAGATGAAAGTATCACTATGAAGAACCATTAAAAAAATCTACAGGAGAAAGAGAAAGAAGTAACTCAGTCATCAGTAGCTACACTGCTCTCACAAATAAGTGTCCCTGAGCTGATTGTGGGGATTGCACAGAAAAACCTGGAATGATGCAGATCAACCTTTCAGCAAGCAACTGCTGAACTGAACTCATCTTCTTATAACTGTGGCAAAACTACTGTTTTCTGTTAGGTGTGCATTGCAACTGAGATAAACAGTTCTATGGGAAAAAGCCAAAACAGAATTTAAAGACTTCTTAAAATACTAGAACCTCATCAATATCCACACAGTCTTTGTTTGCAGATACTTCAGCAAAAACAGAGACTGTTAGTTTGCTCCTTGTCAATTAAGTCTACTTTAGCAGACTTTCTAATCTGGTTATTTGTGCTATGCAAAACATTATTCTCACTGGATGAAGACACTCTTATCCTTTTACAGGCTACAATTAGGCATTGTACTCCTCCTTCCCAGAGCAGTGGGCAAAACACTTAAACAGGAAGCTACAGAGAGCCCTTCCCATTTTTTTTTCCAGAAAAGGAATTCACAGATAGGATGTCTAGACTCCTTTTTTTATACACAGCAAACACTTTTTTGAGTCTCTTAGTTACAGATCAGAGAGGTCTAGGAAATGCACCACTGGTTCTAAACAGTATTTTAATATAGAAGTTTCTATCCTACATAATTTTAGAGAAAACCAGGAATGCTTGTGGGGATGTTTAAGCTCACCCAGTTTCTCCAAACTTTACTTTGGTGCTCATCTCTCCTCTTGCATTTCTAATTGCTGTTATTTTGTGCTGCTGGGAAAACTGTGCAACCTGAACAGCTATTGAATGTGAAATTTGCAAATAATTCCCAAATTTGTGCAAGTGATTTAAAATGTGCACATTCTGAGAAAGTTGTGCATTTTAAGAATATTGCACATTTTCTGTAAACATGAATGCAACTTTGGGAATCTGTGAATATTTTAAAAGAAAATGTGCACCAGATTGAAATTGTGAATGAGGCATTTTTGACTTACTTGCAAATTAAGAAACAAAATTCTCCTATGTATCCCATCGAGCACTCTTCTGACTTTTTATTAAATTCTTGTTTGTGAGTTCCACCTATGTTAATTCTTCCTCATGAATGGAAGTGTGAGATTAGTGATGTAAACCTCTTAAATGCCTATTGCATAGCATGTCTTAATTGCCCCAATGTCCGTATTGGTTCTTGCAGTGGGGGGACAGTAAAGCTTCCTTTACTGATATGTTTTTTACCCTTTCCCAGTTAAAATAGGTTGACTTTTGTAGGAAGATAAATCTTGGCACTGGGGCAATAAAGAGACATTGCAAAGGGCAATTAATTGACTATCAAACACTAATCTCCTAGTCACACTTACCAAGAAGCAATAAAATGAACTGAACCTACAAGGTGGAAACTTTTAATTCCTATTGTTGGGATCAGTCACAAAACAGGACTTATTTGCATGTAACAAGAAGGTTTTTTCCATGTGGAAGGGCCAAATGCCATTCAAGTGTTGAACTACATTCAACTTTTTTTGACAGGGATTAGGACTCCCCCCAAAGAAGGGATGGGATACAGTAGGAACTTGGAGGGTTACCCTGGACTCAGAATGCTAGCAGTATTAGTGGCTTACCAGCAAAAGAGGCTACAGAGGTGACCTTTACCAGTGGAATTAGGTTTCCCATAGCTTGTTAAACAGCTGTGGTAGGGAACCTGTACAAAGCCCTGTTCTACAGATAAACAGCATTCATGATTTTGCTGTGAAACAAAGTGCTCAGGGAGCGCATGTGGCAAAATCACATGTTTAACAATGGATCACCAGAAACATGATGCACACTGTCCCTGTACTTCGTTTCCCAGCATGGTAGTGTAATTTGTGGGAACAGTGGCAACCATAGGGATGGTACACAAATGGCCTGTTGGGCGGCAATTTGCCCACACGTACCCTTAAGCATCAGATTCATAGGCTATACTCTGGGATCCAAAATGATTGCAAGAGGGCTCAGTGGGGTACAGCAGCTTAGGCTGACATACCAAATACTACCTTATCTGGACAGAGATAGCCTAAATATGGTTAACCGTGACTCCATGACGTCTTCTTTGGATTGTTGTTAGTCACAAAGTCGTGTCCGACCCATCATGACCCGATGGACAACATTCCTCCAGGCCTTCCTGTCCTCCACCATCCCCTGTAGTCCACTTAAGCTCACACCGACTGCTTCAGTGGCTCCATTTATCCACCTCATTCTCTGCCGTCCCCTTCTTCTTTTGCCATCTATTGTTCCCAGCACTGGACTCTTCTCCAGGGAGTCCTTCCTTCTCATTAGGTGGCCAAAGTATTTGAGTTTCATCTTCAGGATCTGGCCTTCTAAAGAGCAGTCAGGACTGATCGCCTCTAAGACTGACCAGTTTGATTGCCTTGCGGTCCAAGGGACTCGCAGGAGTCTCCTACAGCACCACTTCTTTGGATTAGTGCAATGATATGTGGTAAGTCTTTTGAATAAATAGTCTGGAATCTTCAGCTGGTTCAAAATAGGGCACAGAGATTCTTAACAATCTTGTACTAGTTTACAAAGGGGATGGTGTATGGGTTTCCTATTTCCCCTTGTTGGACAATTGAAGCAGAGCTTCTGCTTTTATTAGTCAAAATTGCACAATTCCCTCTAGTTCTACTTCTAGATTTTGCATATTCATGGAGCTGCTGCCAAGCATCACCAGCCCAAGAAGAATTGGGGGATATTGGCTAAATAAGGATAACTCTGAGGTCTGCAGACAGCCATTAAAAAAAATCCTGTTTGCTCTCCCTGTTCGCTTGCTCCCTGGGAGCTTCACTGCTTGTATCCCACAGGCCCTAGACCAGGTGGGGCAACTTGCTCTGATCTGCTCTACTTTTTTAGGAGTCAGGAACCAGGAATCATTCATACTGATTTTCCACATACAATTTGCAGTTTCATAATTTACACGACTTGTTTAGCTCATTAAGGCCACCAGCACTGGTCTTGTCTTCATCTATCAGTATGGTCAATCCATTTGCAAGAAAAAAACCTGGATTACTTCTTTTCCTGTGAAAAACCCAATGCAGTCTATACTTTTCCATGTTTGGCTTTTATGGCATAAAGTTATGTAATGGCACTGGAATTTGGCTTCAGTGTTCAAAAGACAGGAGGCAAGGGTGGGAACATACTATATTCTAAAATAATTTCTAAAGAAACACAAAAATGAGCAAGCATAATCAGAATGCAAGTCATTTTGTGATTCACAGAAACCTCTTCACCAACGAATATGAAAGGTGTTTTGTTTTTGTTTTTGCAGAAGGTATTGAAAAATAGGGTTTTTAAAATTTGTTCTCCATTGATTTTCAAAGACAAAAGGTATACAGAGCTTAGCTGGAAAGACACCAGAGCGAGCATTCAATGACGAGCAGAGCAGATACAACCACAACACACTCTTCTGCAGTTCAACATTCAACAAAGGGAGGGATATACAAGAGTATCAAGAGACACAGCTTAGCTTGCAAAGGTAGACACAAAGAGTAGCAAACAAAAACACTCTCTTTGAATCAGCCAAGTGTGCCTGAATTACAGCTGCACCTTGCTGTCTGCAATATAAAATAGGTGGTTAATCCAAAGACAACAAGCACTCCCAAGTGATAAAATTTAATCCCTAAACTTTCTGCAGTCTTTGCCTGCTTGTACAAGAACATATTCTAAACAAAGACCAACTCATTTCATGTGGTCCAGCCAGGGTATCTGCTGATGAGCTTTCAGCAAATACAGAACAGGTATGCATTATCAACCATTGCATCCACAGCTACATGGCAGAAGCTGATATAAAAAAACCTTCAGATGTTCTAGAACCAAACTATGTTTTGCCTAAGGATAGAAAGTGTTCTGAGTAACAGCTGGATTTTATATTTTCAAAAATGAGGATCAAGCATTGCTTGTTTCTTTATCTCAACAGCTTTTAGGAGTCCTAGATACTCAGACAACCTGAAACCTTGTTGGCACTCTTTAAGTAAGTCTAATTTGCACATCTGCAGCTTGCTGCATATTCCTTTCTCAGACTGTAATTGAATGTAGAGGCTTCAAAACTACCCTCTGCTTTATTTACCACTGAGCCAGGAAAACTGTGGCTTCCAGATGTTGTTGCTGTTGTTAGTCGCGAAGTCGTGTCCGACCCATCGCAACCCCATGGACAACATTCCTCCAGGTGTTACTGGACTCTAATTTCCATCAACCCTAGCCAGCCTGGCCAATGGTGAGGGAAGATGTAACAGTAGCTTAACAACAGCCAAGGGGCCACAGGTTCCAGCCATGGTTGACCATTTTGTTTGAAGAAGAATTCTGGAGAACTCAGAGAGCTTCTATGCTATTTTGGATCCTTGAGTTGTCCTAATAAATTTATTGCCCTAAAATAGACTTTAGAA